TTTTTTATTATTTTCAAGCCGTGGATGCTTGAATCTATGAATAAAAAATCTGTGGATAAGGAGGGTAGACTGTATGTTCTTTTTTGTTTCTTAAAATGTTTTAATATTTTAAATTGTTTTTAAATCTACTTCAATAAATTTGACCTCTGTGCTGCCCTGAGATCTTCTAATATAGGGCAGGAGCAGTGGCACCATCATGAGGAGGACACCATCAGGAAGCAGGGTCAGGGGTGCTCAGCCTTTTCATTCTCCGCGGTGGTAGCAGCAACTCATGAGAAACCTCTGTGGCTGTGTGGAAGTAGGGCTTGGGGCTGTTGGTCTTCTCATTCCCCGTAGTGGTGGTAGCTCCTTATGAGGAACTGCTGTCATTGTAGGGAAGGAGGGCCAGGGGCTCTCAGCCTTTGTTCCCCATGGTGGTGGCAGCTTCTTGTGAATAATCACTGCCATGGTGAGGAAGCAGGGCCAGGTGCCCTCTGCCTTGTCCTTCCCCATGATAGTGGCAGCTCCTCATGAGGAACCACTGCCACCATGGGAAAGCAGGGCTGATGGCACTCACCAATCCTCCGCAGAGAGAGGACGGCCCAATTGGGTGTCACCTCTCTTCCAGGGTGCCACCCAGTGCAGGCCGCACCACCGCATTCCTTCTAGTGATGCCACTTGATTAGAGATAAATATTTTAATAATAAAGATTGTCTTTTACCTGACTTTAGAGATTTGGAAAATACTTCCATTCAGATCAATCCTGAGACCCCTGATTAAATTCAAATCTCAGATCAGAATCCAAATCTTTTGCCTTGTTTTTACTTGAATATTTTCTAAATTTGAATCAGTATGCAGTTTAGGATCCAGGATGTTTCCAAGTCTACAAAATTGGTTTGTTATACTTAGGGATATAAAGAGTCACTTATCTGATTCTTGCATGCAAGCACAAAGTATGCAAAGAGACTGCAAAAACAAAAGGATTCCCCCCCACACACACATTTTTTATTTTTGATGTTGTATTGCAGGTCTTGTTTGTGGGGAAAAAATCACTTCTACAAATAAATATGATTGTAAGGAAAACAATGGGCCTCGGCAGACAACTAATAGAGTCGTCTCCGAGCCCAGGAAGAG